GGCTCCCGCGGTGGAGAGGAAGGGGTGAGGACGGCGGCGCGGCGTCTGCTCAGCCGGGCGACACACGGCAGACTGGTGGCAGGAAGTGGCGAGCAGAGCTGGGTGGCAGCGTTTCTCTCTGGCTTCCTGGGCGGCCACAGCAGGGAGCCCACAGATGCCGTGGGTTCCTGGCCCCCAGGAGGCCGAGGCCGCCCAGGAGCGCGGTGAGTTTCTGGGTCTCCGGCAACCCCAGTGCCACAGCCTCTGGGACACTCGGAAGAATGAGCAGGACAGGAGGGGGGTGAGGGCAAAGGTGGCCCCAGGGAGGGGCGTGTGAAGGCGTCACCAGGAAGGTCTGGGGGCAGAGCCCGGAACCCGCCCAGGAGAAAATCGGCAGCAGCGGCCCCAAACAGCCAGGGTTTTTGTTTTTGTTTTTGTTTTTGTTTCTGCTGACAAAAAGCCAATAAAAGACGGGGCTCGGTGGCTCATGCCTGTCATGCTAGCACTCTGAGAGGCCAAGGTGGAAGGATAGCGCTCGAGGTCAGGAGTTCAGGACGAGCAAGAGCGAGACCCCCGTCTCTACTATAAATAGAAAGAAATTAATTGGCCAACTAAAAATATGCAGAAAAAATTAGCCGGGCGTGGTGGCGCATGCCTGTAGTCCCAGCTACTCGGGAGGCTGAGGCAGGAGGATCGCTTGAACACAGGAGTTGGAGGCTGCTGTGAGCGAGGCTGACGCCACGGCACTCACTCTAGCCTGGGCAACAGAGTGAGACTGTGTCTCAAAAAAAAGAAAAGAAGCTGAAAATAGAGTTGAATTCATGGATAAAAAAAAAACACCTCGTCATTATCAAGCAGCAGCTGGAAAACAGTAAGAAAATGGCACAACTTAGCAGGATTGGATCCAGGAATCACAGAAAACGAAGTACAAAATGGCTCATAAACCCAGAAGAGAGGTGCCCTGCCTTACTTACAAATAAAAATTTAAACTGCAGTGAAACCGGCTGGGCGCGTGGCTCACGCCTGTCATCCCAGCACTCTGGGAGGCTGGAGCAGGAGGATCGTCGAGGCAGGAGTTGACGCCAGCCTGAACAAGAGCGAGACCCCCGTCTCTACCAAAATAGAAGCTAATTGGACAGCTAAAAATATATAGAAAAAAATTAGCCGGGCATGCCTGTAGTCCCAGCTACTGGGAGGCTGAGGCAAGAGGATGCGCTTGAGCCCAGGAGTCTGAGGTTGCTGTGAGCGAGGCTGACGCCACGGCACTCACTCTAGCCCGGGCAGCACAGTGAGACTGTCTCAAAAAAATAAATAAATAAATAAACTACAGTGAAACCATACGATCATTTCAATGGCTGAGGGAAAGATTTGCCAACATTTAAAACCCATTCATGATAAAAAAAAAAAAAAATTAAATAAAAAAATTTAAAAACACCTCTCAGCAACATAAGTGGAAATGGGAATTTCCCGATAAGGAATATCTGAAAAAAAAAAAAAAACCTACGGTAATATTATACTAAATGGTGAAAGACTGAATTGTTTCCTCTTGAGATTGGGAACAAAAGACAAGGATGTCCCTTTTCACCACTTCTATTCAGCACTGTCTGGCAGTCCTCACCATTGTAATATGACAAGAAAAATCAATGAGCTGCGCAAGGCTGGGCGTGCTGCACACCGCGGCAGTCCCGGCCCTTGGGGAAGCTGAGGCGGGAGGGTCAATCGAGACCTGCAGTTCAAGTCCAGCCTAGGTAACATAGTGAGCCCCTGCTTGAAACAAAACAAAACCAAACAAAAAATAGTTAAAACTGACATTACTTGCAGATGCTGTGATTATTTATGCCAAAAACCCAAGGGAATTTATAAGACAACTGCCGGAACTAATAAATAAATAGCCAAGGTCACAGGTTACAAAGTTAATTGAGTTCAATACAAAATTCAGTTGGATTCTTATATACTAGCAGCAAACAATAGGAAAATCAAATTTTCCTTTTTGTTTTTATTTTTTTTTTTTTTTTTTTTTGAGACAGAGTCTCCTTTGTTGCCCAGGCTGAGTGAGTGCCGTGGGTCAGCCTAGCTCAACAGCAACCTCAAACTCCTGGGCTCAAGCGATCCTTCTGTTCAGCCTCCAAGTAGCTGGGACTACAGGCATGCGCCACCATGCCCGGCTAATTTTTCTTTAATATAGTTGGCCAATTAATTTCTTTCTATTTTAGTAGAGACGGGGTGTCTCGCTCTTGCTCAGGCTGGTCGAACTCCGACCTCGAGCGATCCGCCCGCCTCGGCCTCCCAGAGGCTAGGATGACAGCGTGAGCCAGCCGCGCCCGGCCTATTTTTTTATTTCTTGAGACAGAGTCTCGCTCTGTTGCCCAGGCTAGAGTGAGTGCCGTGGCGTCAGCCTCGCTCACGAGCACTCAAGACTCCTGGGCTCAGCGATCCTCCTGCCTCAGCCTCCCGAGTAGCTGGGACTACAGGCATGCGCCACCAAGCCTGGCTCATTTTTTCTTTGTATATATATTTTTAGTTAGCCAATTAATTTATTTCTATTTTTACTAGAGACGGGGGGGGGGGTCTCGCTCTTGCTCAGGCTGGTCTGGAACTCCTGACCTTGAGCAATCCTCCCGCCTCGGCCTCCCAGAGTGCCGGGATGACAGGCGTGAGCCGCCGCGCCCGGCCTATTTTTCTCATTCATCTCGTTTTTGTCCATTTTCCTCCATCA